CACAAGTTCTTTTTTGTTCAACAAATACTGGTTATGTGCCTGGCACTCTTCAAGGTGCAGGCAGTAAGCAGAATGGATATTCAGAGTAGCTTCCCTTTCTCCATCTGATCCACTTTCCATCCCCTCCATGCCCAGGAAGCCCCATTCTGAGGATGACATCACATCTTCCCCTCTCCCTTCTGGGTAGCTTTGAGCTGTGGTGTGGGTAGACAAGGTAGCTGGGGTGCCTCAGTTCCCACCTCCCTCCCAAAGTACTGAGAAACCTGCCAAGCTGAGGCAAATGGCACAACTCCTAGTCTATAACCTCTTCCATATAGTCTCTTTAAACTCAGCCTCAGGCCCTTGCTGCTTTATTTCACTATGTGGGGCCTAAGAATGGCACCTGCCCATTATTACAAGTCCCCAGAGTCCCTGCCTATCCTTGCATCCTGCCTATGCTTTTATAACTATAGTAGTTCTCCAAGACCCCCAGCTGATACTGGAAACTCCAGAGCCCTGAACCCTACAAGCTCTGTGAAACCACAACAGTAGATCCAATAACTGAAAAGATGGCTAAGAGATATCCGCAGATTGTATTTACTGCATGGACACATTTGACAAAAGAATGATTTGTGTCCCAATGGCTATTAATGGTGAGAAGGAGCAGGTTGGTGTAAGATTTCACATGACTCAAAATGGTACAAAATATCCTTAGGAATTGTTTTCTTCTGGGACTTTTCATTCAATAGTCTCACGTGTAATGAAGCCATGAAAAGTGAAAACACAGATTGGTGAGAGTGCTACTGTACTGCTTCTTAAAAATACTTCATAGTACCCTAATATGAATGCAGCATTATTTCTGACTAGAACAATAGTAGACAAAAATCCTTGCCCTCTTCAAGTGGGTGGTGGTCAGGTGGACAGACCATAGAAATGAAACAGTACATGAAAAGATAAACGTCATTGAAGAATATGAGCAGTACAAGGAGCCAGAAAGTATACAGAAGGGAATTTTTTAAACAGATGGTTAAATGTTTGACCACATTTTGTTTGGTCACAAGCTCAAATGTGGTAAAGGAATAGGCCAAACAAGAGGTCGCAAAGGCCTGCATTGAGGAATGGTTGGTGGGACAGGCAAGGTAAATTTGACTAATAGCAAACAACAGAAATAGAATTGGTTGTCAAGTAGTAGGACACTGAGGCTGGGGTTATCTTCAGAATCCTCATTTAGATAACATCTTCCATTTGCTTCCTAAATAGTCCTTGATATATTAAGCCAAAAGAGTTACAACTTATTTATTCATGAGGAAATGGATGAGTTCTAGGTCAGAGGTAGAACAGAGACCACAACAGACCAGCACCCATAGTGGGACTTGGGACAAAGAGGAACAATGCGAGCCACACAACTGAGTTACAAGTAAATATAAAAGCAAATAGAGGGAAGGAAGCTTTGTATTTTCTACTAGATATATCCTCAAATCCTCACCCTTGTCTTGAGGCTTGTTTGCCTGTAAAGTACTGTCCTTCTGCCATGTCCTGACAGGTGCCACCAGTCACTGTTCCCAAACAATGACTTTCCATAGTCTGCCTTTATTTTATTCCCTTAGTCTAGAATTTTCCTCCCATTCCCATCACACCTTTAATAGGCTGCTTGGTTTCCCCTCAAAAATTCAAATCCAGTGAGGACCTCAGAACAGGAAATAAAGCCTTTGTGGATACAATTAAGTTAAAGATTTAAAGAGGAGTTTACCCTGGATTTAGGGTGCCTCTTACCTCTACTGAGTGCTATCCCCATAGGAAGGGGAGAGGACACAAAGACACAGAAGGGAAGCCCACCACCCAACCACTAGGGCTGTGCTGGCTCATAAAGAATGCAAGAGACACAGGATGTGCAGGCAAGGGAGAGCTCCCCCAGGCCTCCTGGGGACAGTGGCCTTAGAACTTGGCCTGGTGCATGCGCACATGCTGGGCCAGCGCTCTGCCTCTGGGCTGCACCCCAGCCCCCTACTGACATCTTGATTTCCTCCTTCTGGCTTCCAGAAGGGTGAAAGAATAGGTTTGGGTTTTAATCCACCAAGGTTTCAGTAATTTGATGTCACAACCCCTAGGCAACTAAAACACCATAATCGCTCACAAAGTACAATTCAATTTTTCTAGCCATTTTCTTACAACTCAAAAGGTTTTGCAAATCAAAATTAAAATATTGCTCCTCCATGACAACACTCCTATCAAGACCAGATACCTCTCTCCTACAAACAAATCTTTAAAGGCCTGGTCTATATTTTAAGGATCCTTGTGTCACTTCATAGAAGACATCATCAGTTGCTACTTTTTTGTTTTCACTTTTGGGTATGATAGATCGTATTTGGAGAACTTTGTTATTATTTATTTATTGCCAGGGAAGCACTTATTCTACTGAGCCATCTCCCCGGCCCCAAAATTGATTTTTTTTTTAATTGGGGGTTGTACTCAGGAACTTGTACTTACCAGGCAAGCACCTATTCTACTGAGCTATCTCCCTGGCCCCTCTTTTTGGAGAACTTTAATAGATGGGTCTTTTTTAAAAATGTATTTAGTGAGGCTGGGGAGATGGCTCAGTAGAATAAGCGCTTCCCTCGCAAGAGCAAGGGCCTGAGTTCAATCCCTGGTTTCACCAAAAAAAAAAAAAAAATGTATTTAGTACTTCAAGGTCCCACTACACAGAGCAGACTCATAGTGATCCTCCTGTTTTCAGCCTCTCAAGTGTTGGGATTACAGGCCTGCACCACCACGCCCAGTCTCAATCACCCTGGAGCAGGGGCTAGCATGGCACACCAGGGATCAAACCCAGTTCCTGCGTCTGCCTGAGCAGGTGTTTTAGTCCTCTGAGCTCTCTAGTCGGCAGTTGCTACTGCCTGATGACACATCATTTGGAGCCCTGTGTCTGTCCTCAAAGGTAACATTTCCTTGAAGGTAAAGATGAGGTCATCATTGTACATGTTCACAGCATCTAGCAAAGGGCCTCAGCACTAAGTGCCAAAATATTTGTTAACTAGTGCTAATCAGATTAACCTCTTCATTGATTACAAATAATATGCCAAGCTAAAAAAAAAAAAAATAGTTCTTCTGTTTAAGAAATGCCAAAAGTGCTGCTGCTTTGGAGTCTCCTGCCTGACATTGAAGGCTTCCTGCATGGGCTCTCTTCCTGCAGGGCAGGGTGGCACAGCTGTTTTGCCAAGCCACCCGTGAACTTGCTGCTGAACAGCGAGTCCCTGTGGTTGTGCGCATTGACCCTGCCAGGAAGACCATCCCGTCCCTTAGTTGCAATTTCGACCGCAAGAGCCCCATCAAGTACATTAGCATCTTTGCTTATTACTCAAAATGGAAACTAGATAAAGACCAATGGTTTCTCTTCAGTGAACGCACAAGCCCCGGGTGGTTCACCTACAGCCCTGTGCCCTCCTGAGCACTAGGACTTCGACGTAGTCACCTCACAGTTCCGTTCGTTCCCTGGCCTCCTCTTGACTTTTCCCACCTGCTTCTAGGCTGATTCAACATCAAGGAGCGCTTCTTCCACGGCACACCCTAACACCTCCTGCTCTTTTCCCAGTCTAAGTCAGTGTCTTCTAGTTTCTCCCACAAATAGAACTGCTTCCTCAGGCTCCAGGCTTCGGTGGCCCCGATATTAGAGGCCACACGTGACTCAAATAGCATTATGAAAAAAAAAAAAAATGCTACACTCGCATGATGGGAAAGAAAGCCAAAGAGAAAAATCAAGCAAAAAATTAGTACTCATAGCCTTTACAGTGGCGACGCTGTCAAGATGTTCTAAAATTCTATTACCAGTAGTGCCAATTACACTTATTTCTCCTCACCATTCCATACAAAATAGCATATCTTTTTGCATGTCATGTTTGCTTTTTTGGGGTGTAGCAACACTACAACACCGATCCATGTGGCCTTTCATTATACAATGTGTCATTTTAATTCTATAGTTTTTCAGCTTCATTGTAGACTAAATCAGCTCTCTGGGCTGAAGTCTATTATAAAGTTTTATATCCCATAACTCGAGAGGACTTAAAAGGAATAGAATAATTCTATATCAGTACAGCTTGCTTTTAACACCAAAGGTTCAGGAAAATCCACCTGAAACCCTTTCAATTAAATCCAAGGCAGTGTATGCTTAATTCACCACCAGCGTTGAAACTTTTAAAACAGTGGCGTTTCCTGTTCCATAACAAATAGCACACTGTGTCTTGTTTTCCAACTGAAAAGGTATTTTACCTTTTTTTATATGTATTTTGTGCAGGGTTTCGCTTGGACTTGGAGTGATCCCCCTGTATTCAGCCTCCTGGGACTACAGGCACATGCCACCACACCTGGTCTCTGACCAGCTCAGCAAGGCTGGGGGCGGAGCCCACGCAGCAGGTGCTGTCCATTGAACCCTGGTCCCAGAGCTTGCCTAAGCAGATGCTTAGTCCCCTGCGCTATCTCGCTGGCCAGACACTTTACTTTTCATTTGTAAATTTGTGTTTAGTCTAAGTAGGCATGTACCACATTCCAAAGTTCTCCGCTAAGTTCTCCACTCCACGGACTTGAAACATTTCTATTGTAATATGTGCAACAAGCCAGCACTCCCTTAAGCAAAAATTTAAGTCAATAACAGGCAAATTCAAATAGCCACAGCTCTCATGGAACGTTCCAAAGTCAACATTAAAAAATCAAATGACTGGACTGGGCCCTAAGAAACAGAACGTGGGATTGGGGATATCGAAAGGCCCTGCGGGGCTGGGATTTGTGAGAGCTGGATTCAAGGCCCCTGTGGAGTCTGCAGCGCGCCCTCCAGGGCTGGACGGCAACTCCCGGGCCGCTGAGAGCGAGTGGGCGACTCCGGGCGTCCACCGGCTATCCCTCCCTGGGCTCACACTTCGCTCCCGGGCGGCCTGTTTGGTCCTGGGGTGGCGGAGGAGGAGTCTGGGGCAGGGCAGGAGATGGCAGGGAGAGGGGAGCGCGGGCCGCGTCCCGGGGAGAGGACGACTCACCCGCGGGGCGCTCGGGCCGGATGGGGCGCCACCGCAGGGTGCGCTCGCCCAGCACCACGTCGCAGCCGCCTCCGCTGACCTCGAAGATGCCGCGGAGCAGGGTCCTTTCGGCCGCCGCCTCGGCCTCCGCGGGGGGCTGCAGCCCCGCCGCGGGCGCCTCTTCCTCCCGGCCGCCCTCCAGGGCGCTCACCCGGCTCCCGCGTCTCCCCCGGGGCATGGCTGGGCCTGGGGGTCCCGGGTCCGGGGAGGCCGAAGTGGAGGCCGCAGCCTTCAGGTTACAGCCGCGTCCGGCGCTGCCGGGCAACGCGCGCCCCGCTGGGACCAGGGAAGGGAGGGGAGGGGGAGGGGGATGGGGAGGGG